ACCCGGCTGGCAAACTTTGCACATGCAAGCTGTCTGTATTATTGTTGCAATGAATAAAATGTTTCTTTTATTTATGATATTTTTTTCTTCAATTTATTTGTGTCCTCCTTTTCATTGTAAAAAAGTTGGTCACCTTAAATAGAATTGAAACTCAAAAATACTTACAGGGATCAAAATCCACCATATTTGGAAGGCATCAGATCAAAAATCCCTTGTTTCTGTTTCAGAATCATTGTGAAAGAAAATTGGCTAAACGTCTTTGGGAAATGTTTGCTTTTTCTTTTTTAAGTAAAATTTGAAGCAAACAAATAGGATCATTTCCAAAGCATTGTGGTACAATTAAAAATAATGTGCCATGTACAATTGCAAAGCAAGTCCTTGCTTTCAGTATTGATGCCATGAGAAAGTAAAATGGCTACTGCAGCTTTATCATGAGTAACTCTTTGGTAATCAGGCCAACTATGGTTCCCACCGTATGTCATCCATGCTAGCTATCATATAATTGTTTTGCAAAAGAGTCCAGGAAGCAGTTCTCAGTAGAAAGCTAATACGGGTATAAGAAAAAAACAGAATTAATAGAATTCAGAAACTTTGCACAGTCCCCTTTAAAATTCCATGATGTTTGCTTTATTAACTATTTATTTTAGAGCTATAAACAAAATGATGTAAGATTATTTTTATGGGTATCATCCCTCCGTGTTAACTTTCAAACAAACAAGGATGACGTATTCGACAAATGAATATTGGAATTGCTTGCTTCAGCTTTCCTTCTTCCCTACCGCATAGCATGCACAGAAGTTTGTGTATTTTATAATTTATCCATGCAACTAACTTATTCAGCATTCACTTGTCAAAGCATTACTTAGTTCAGACTTTCCTCCATGAGACGATAGCTACTTACTTATTTAATTAATTAATTTTGCAAGCTAAAGAGGCAGCCTCACGTCCGACTTTACCCATCATTTGTTTCAATGTTTATTTAAGGAAAGAAAGTTGGATGAAGGTGAAGAATTCTTTTCCAAATGAGAGTACATCAATACAAGCCAGATATTCTATCACTATCCCCCATAACTTTGGATAAGATTATACGTTTCTATCATTTGACAAGAATTGATTGGGTTCAGATTTGTAAGCATGGATTTCCACTACCAAAATGAAATTCTTTTCCACCAGTAGCCCCTCTCTCTCTTCTCCAAAATTGGCTTGCTCAAACTTCCATCCTTTTAGAGAAGATTTCTGGGATGAAATGGTAGGAGACTATTTCCTTAATGATAAATATATTCTTTTGGATTCCACTCTGTATTTCAGTTGAAATATAAACCTTTCCTGGCCTTTGACAGATCTCTGATGCTTTTCTGATTTTCAATCTAAAGATCTAATAAATTGTGAAAACCAACATATCTTACATATGAACTCAAAAGGCACTCTGTTTTAGATTGAAGCTGCAGAAAAATCATATAATGTAATTAAAAATAGTTTAGACAAGATTACTATCTTTTGACATTAAATTAATGTATGCTATTACAAAAAGAAATTGGCCTTGCGAAAAAGCAGGCACACATGTCAACTGTGGGGATTCCATAAAATCCTGGAACATCCTGAACAGAAATTGTATCATTTGGATGTTAAACAGAACAGTTTTTAAAAGTTTTAGGGTGGGAGGGTTTTTATTCCTGGTGGGAGGCACAGTCAAGGGATGCCAGAAAGCAGACTTTGGAAGTATTTTGAACTAATAGGTAAAATTAAAAGTTAAAAAGAAAATGCTCATAAAATGGGACTTTTGAAGATAGTAGAAATATTGCAATGCATATATTTTTGTGAACTGAAATGTAAGCAACACCAGGGAGGTCTGGAAAGGCTTATCTATTTGCATAGAGGAGACATATAGCAAACATATTTATGTTATATACCATTTTAGTGCCGAGGAGAATAAAGCAAATATTCAACAAGAGTTGCTTGCATGTCCAAGATTCTACTCTTTTTTTAATATTCACACAAAAAGTGAGTGAAAAAAAAATTGCAGGACAGTTCAGTATATACTGTATCTTCTCAGAGAGAAGTCCTATGAGTTTGAAAAAATTAATTCCTAAACTTCAAGTAGGTACAGCAGCTTTTCCTGAGAAGGCATTCTCCAAATAGCTCGCAGTTAAACCCAAGTGATTTCCTAGCCATTTTTTTCTGGGAATTAAGGAGCTCAAGTGTGCCAAAAGTGCTTTTAAAAAGCAATTCCCTTGAAAAACTGAGAACTGAAGAAACTTCTTGGATAAGAAGCAAAACATCTTCAAGGAAAAAAAAAACAAAACAAGAACACCCAGATGCCTTTTGAAAAGGACCTTTGGAACAACCACGACCTGGATGATCCAGTAAATCAGGCAATTTGGGATTTCTGCATAAAGGGTGAGAGATTGTTTAGCAAAGATGGCCTTGAGATGCCTGATATAGCTAATGACCACATGGCTGCAGAATCGTGAGAGATGACTTACAATAGATATGAGGAGTTTCAGGTTGGAAATGATCACTATACAGAATAGGAATTGTTTTAAGCTTCAGTAAGGAAATAGGTAAGGACTCCTGTCCTGCCCTAAATGTGACACCAGGCCCCCATTTTCCACTTATCAAACCTGAGATTTATTTACCCATCAATGAGGTATATCGTGCTATGGTAAGAAAAGCTACTGTAGGTTGGAGATATTTTCAGAAAAGCAAAATTTCTGTCTCCTAGGCTGGCTGAATGGTCTTCAGTTTGATACCTTGTTGAGAAAGCAATTTTTAAGTGCCCAGGGAAGTCATTTATTGAGACCAGAACATTCTGGCAAACTGTAGGCACAATTACACCTTCATTTTCATTGCTCTGTATTCTGTTACAGGCACTCCTTTGCCAGAATGTGCTAGGCGTAATAAATTACCATCTAATGTGAGATTTGCTCTCACCTTTTTTTCAACATTGATTTTCTCTGTTTCAAGGACAGGAATCATAATAGTTTTGATTTCTTTTCTCCTTACTGTTATGTAACTGCCCTTTTAAACTCTTGTTATAGGAAAAACACGAGTGTAAATATACTAATATGAACAGTTATGCCAGCTGGAAACAAGCTCTAAGTCTTGCCAAATAAAAGCCATACAAGGAATTAGTACTTTCTCACTTTTCCCAAGAAATTGGTCTCTTTATATCATGTCAGTCAAATATATTTTGAATTCATAGTTTCCAAACTATCCAGATGGTTTTGACTTAATGTCAGAAAAAACAATTACATTTCCTGATACTAAAAATACAATTTAATAATGGTTTCCTACCCTTTTATGGTATCCAGAATCTACCATCTTAGCCAGTTGCCGCATTTTGTGTAATGATAGGGTGTGTCTTGGTACTTGTGAACAGCTTATAGGCCTGAGTTGTCAAGCTGATTTTTACGATATCTATGGAGATGAATTGGTTATTATTCTGTTGACTTGTGGCCTCCTGTATTTTTATATTTGAGATTAAAATTGGTTCCAAGCATAACACTTCTTTTGCTTTAGCCATAAATAATCTCCAGGGTAATAAAGATGAAATAAATATTATTTACAATGAATTATTTCTAGGATCTTTTTATAGCTTGACTTTATTTTATTCTCTCAGAAATGTACAATGTTGTCTCCTCTCACAGGTGGAAGAACAACAAATTTCCAGTACACTAATTTATTTGTATCAACAAAGTTTTTTTCTCTTTTTTCAGTCTTTTATATTGTAATGGGAGAGAACAAGAAATGAAAATTTTTTTTGCATGATTAACCTACACAGTTAATATGTGTTTTTCAATATTAGAAAAAATAAAGACTGTGGAAATTTGATGTAATTTTATACGCAGAATACTCAGACTGTGTATGTCTTTACATTTTTTGATTGGGCTGATGAGGGAGTGCTGTATTGCAGTTGTTGAGTAGAAGCAAAAATAAAATGACTTATCTAACCCAAATTACATGGCTGGCAATGTGAGGCAATGGTGGAAGCTATGGATGGATGGAAACATCTTGGTGAAGGTGTTATGTAGTTCAGGGGTCGCCAACCCCTGGTCTGTGGGCCGGTACTGGTCCGCGCAAAGCAGTGAAGCCCCATCTGCAGGATGCAAGCAGCATGAAAACCTACACCCCCGTGGAAAAACCTCCCTCCGGTCCGTTGCAAAACCTCTCTCCATGGAACCGGTCCCTGGTGCCCAAAAGATTGGGATCTCTGATGTAGTTGTCAAATTGTTTGGAGCTTCAAATGATGCTAACCCCCATAATTTTTACTATTTAGAACCTTCATTTCAGATATAAGCTGCTGCTTCTCCCTGACTCTATTATCTCTTCACTGGGCCTTTAGCTAAGATCAAAGAGGCTATTTTCTGGGTTGCTCAGTGGCTTTGTCTAAGCCTTTGTAATCAGCACAGTAGATGCTGAGTTTTCACAAAACTAACGAAGTTTTCTATAACTGTGTTTAAAGAACATTTTCTGGAATTCAAAGAGACACGCAATACATTCTTTTTTGATCAAAATCAAACCTGGAAGGCAATTTCTAGTTTTCTCCCCTATTTATCCTCAAAATTCTTCCCTTCTAATCACCAAACTTCCTTCCTTCTTGTCATCTACTTGACAATAGGAACAGCCAATGTAGAATATCTTCCTCAAAATGAGAGCACATCCACTCTCTACTAGCACTGATGATTCACCTAGTATGGTAATGAAACATCTGCAAGAAAACAACTGAGCTCAGTGAATGTGTACCCCTTAGCCTATAATTTAGAAACATATAAAAATAATATACTGTCAGAGTTTAATTTTGAGCACATTTTTAATATACAAAGATAAAACCACCTTGGAAAAGCCTTTTTTTGTATATACTAACTGATATCTAAGATCATTTATTTATTTGATTTACTTTATAGTCTGCTTATTCTGCCTTGTTGACCAGACAGCAACCAAGACAACTAGGAAATGTGAAAGTTTGCTGAAGCTGAAATGTTGCTAATTAAGATGCTTACCAGAATTTTTATTGGTCTTATTCTGTCTGCTCTTTACTTGCTCAGTCCATAATGTAGGGTAGCGAGAAGCTATATCTAGAACAATAAAGAACAAAATCAGACTGTTACAATGGAAAACGTAATTGGTACCAAAGTATATTGATTCAAGGAAATAAAAAAATGTAATAAATGTGACAGGACAATTTCTTATTTACGACGGTATTTAGAAAATGTAGCATGACAGTATTTCAGTATAAATACAATGCATGTAACAAATGTTCACATTAAATAGCTTTATATTACACTAATAGCGAACTATGATCCTGAAATGCAACATTCCTGGCATAAACCCAGAAACAACATTGATTGTCTGAATAACCAGGGTGAATCATGAACAATGGAATAATTTTGGAAAAAGTGCTAGTAAAGCTGCCAGTTTTGGAAAGATGACAATTAAAAAAAGTAATTACATTTATTTTACTCAAAATGAAGTCCCACTGTGTTAAACACAAGATAGATTATTAGGAGTGTAGATTTAGATACAAAAATGACATATATCTATGTACAGCACCTATCTGTTTGTCTGTCTGTTGGTCTATTTATAATTTTGTGAATGATTTAGAGCAGTGGTTCTCAACCTGTGGATCAGGACCCCATTTGGGGTCGAACGACCATTTCATGGGGGTCGCCAAACAAGGCTGTCCGCCATTTTTCCCCCTTTTCTTTGGCCATGCCCCTGGCACCCAGTGATGTATAAGTGGTTGGGGGTCACCATAACATGGGGAACTGTATTATGGGGTCGCGGCATTAGAAAGGTTGAGAACCACTGATTTAGAGGGTTTGGCTTTCTCCTTGCAAATGGGTCTTCTAGGGTATCTCATACCTCTTAGTCTAATGATGTGCTATAATTAAAAATCCTCTATAAATCCTTTTAGAGATCTAGGTTCAAAAGCAACAAAAGATCCTTGTGTTATTTTAAAGTCTAATCAAGTTATGTTTGAGCATTATCATGGCTATAATCCAACACAAATGGAGGAAAATTGATCTAGATTATTAGCTAGATTTGAATCTACTTCATCAGAAATAGGAAGTGACTTATTTCCTTTCAGAAAAGTATCTCAAAGAATAGAATAAAAAAAAATAAACCCTGGCCATATTTCTGTAATATTATATAGATAGTTTCTATAAAAACTCAGTTAACATGGCCATAGCCTTCCCTTCCCATTTCTATAAATTCTCACCTTCTTCATCTCCTTGAGGCTGAGGCTCCAGTGCAGGAGCTGAGGCATCATCTGAATTCAGAATGGAAAAGATTTGCAAGGAGACTACAATTATGAAAGTAAACTAAATAAGTGGACATATATAATAAATGATTCGAACAAAGTCTGTTATTAATAAATTAAAAATTGAATTTTTTAACCACACACAAGAAATTATATGTGTAAGTATTTTAAAGCATTTTAGTCACTGTATTGATTAAATTAGAAGCATTTATGAGGGTTTCTGTCATGAGCAAGAACATTCCTGTAACCCCATTCAGTCCAACCTAGAAGTTTCTTATTTTCGCTAATAGTTGCATCACATTCATGAAAAAGGATAAAAGTGTACACAAGTCATACTTCAAAAAATCACAAAGATCTCACATTTATTTTGATGTACTTATTTATTCTAGGTACCATAGGTTCCCAGGAGAGTGTATAACCCAAATGCAATGCTTAAATAAAATATCAAGCATTAAAAAATATTAATAATTCAAACATGGAAATGTTGCACTGGTGTCCTTAATGATAGATAACATGCCCCACAAAATACATCATAGTCATATTGTTTTCAAGAACTTCTCTGTCCAGTACTATATAATACTATTGTGTTTTGCAGTTGGGCTACATTATCAGTGGAATTTGTGACCAGAGATGCCATAGTAATGTTGTTAGTAATCTGTGGGAGGCCAGTGATTTTTCTTACCTAAAAACTGAATTACTGCACTTAAATATACAATTCCATCTGATAGGATGGAATGACAACTCCCAGTGACAGCGCTGGCTGGATTTTACAGTAGCTCAGTTAATAATGATTGTTTGTCAGAGAAAGCTCAAATTTAATAATGATAGGATAGCCAGTAGTCCTTTCTGTTTTAGGCAAAACATAGCTGTCTTTTACTCCTGCCCTCTGAATGATCAGTGAACTGTCAAAGTTCTCAAGTTGTATCTACCACCTAGATTTCTCACCTAATGTCCATGGAAGCTATCAGCATTTTCTGCACAGAGCTACCTTGGTCACATCTAATGGGGATTCTCACCCTGCAGCCCCCAAAACAGGTGGATAGTCTGCATCGTATCAGTGTTTTAAAATATAAGTACCAGAAGAACAATCAAAACTGAATGCAGCAGAGGCAATTCTATGTATGATTCTGTTCATAATGGGAAAAAAAAGTTCCATGCAACCCTAAAGCAAAATATAGTCAACTAAATAAGCACTTTCTGTACTTTGAAGTTCCAATTCCATTTTTAAATATTTGCATATTTTAAATATTTAAATATTTTAAAAGACTGAAAATATAAGGAAATGTAAGAAACATGTTCCTTACATAAGAAATGTAAGGAAAATATAAGAAACAACATAAGCTGATTCCTGGAAAACTTTTCAATGTAAAAATGCTCTGATGTTTCAGAATCTATGTTGGCTATGGCTGGTCAACTGGGATCTCTTAAGTGTCATTCTAGATATTTAAGTAATGAGGTATTAAACCTTAACAGCCATCCTGCCAAGTTTAAGTAAATATGAGTTGTGGCAACTGTCTGGCCTTAGCAACAATCAACATACAAGCAGAACCTTGTTTTAGAAAACATTCAGCTTCACACCTGCTTTTGTTCCACCCGTGTCTCAAACACAGTGTGTAACTGGAGGCTGACGATAAAATGTCTTTCTTCACTGCTGCTCTGTCTCAACACTCAGGCAAAGTTTAAAGACTACATAGCATATTTAGTACTTTAGGTATTACTAAAAATGTCTAATTTATGACCTGTATTGAGTTTCTTCAGAAAAGCTAACTGACATTCGGAGCTGACATATTTGCCTGGCAATTGTATGAAAGAGCAATCACCCTCAAGTAGCATATATACACAGGCTCACATTACTCAGTTGAAAAGTTACGTTTGTTTTTATATGAAATGGTTGAGGGTACTATGGTTCCTACAGGAACATAAATCAAGAATAGTTATATAATGTTGAACTGACATTATACAACTTAGCTTTCCTAGTTTGGACACTTCATTGCAAATCATTAAAAAAGGAGGAGGAGGAAGAGGAGGAGGAGGAGGAGGAGGAGAAGGAGAAGGAGAAGGAGAAGGAAGCTAAATAAACTTGAATGTATATCCCCATTAATCTTGAGCATAAATCTATGGGCTACATTGGAAGTACAGTAAACTGGTCCAGACAGATATATGAAAGATTTTAGCACAGACACATAAAAAGTTGTAAAAAGATAACATTAATAAAAGCAATGGGCTCTGAATATAATCCATCAGTTTAACTTATTATAATAAGTCATAGTCAGAAATTTAACCTTCATTATCAGAGGACCGAATAAAAAAGATCTCTTTAATTCAATCTTAAATAGAGCAGATTTTAGAAAAAGATGCAGAATGGTCCAGAAGGTAGGAGCCAAGAGTTTAAGGATGGTTAAGTACCGTACAAATCCCATTGATTGCAAGTGAATGGTATGTGAGAATTGTAAGAATTCACAAAAAGAAAATAGAGACAATGGATTTGGGAGTGGAACATGAGTAGGACTGAATGAAATTGAATTTAATAGATTTAGCCAATCTCACTTGATTTGCCAAACCATCATTACATCCTGTTTCTGTTAAGACTTTTAAAAATACCAATTCAATACTAGAATTAATTAATGTAACTATGCACATTTTTACTAACATGCACCTGTAATATACTATTTTGCCAGCATTTCTTCCAATTCATAAGTTTCATAGTTTTATATAGGCATTTTACCTAGATTTTTAATTGGCAAAATAAAATTGGGAAATGCTAAAAGAAAACTTCCCAATTATTGTACATGTGTTATTTCAGGGACTACAAAATTAGTTAAATTCCCATTAAAATACAAATTAACCTAATTTATTCCTTCCTCTAGGAGGGAGGGGAAGAAATATTCATGATTCCATAAATTAGAATTGGGTAGCATATGTGCTGCAATCCCTATTATCCCTCACAACTCAGCCACATTGGCTAAGGTCAACAAAAGTTCCATGTTGCCTATCTCTGTCCTATATTAAAGATAAAGATTTCCCCTGTCCAGTTGTGTCTGATTCTAGGGGGGAGTGCTCATCTCCATTTCTTAGCTGAGGGAGCCACCATTGTCTGAAGATGCTTCTCTGTTCATGTGGCCAGCATGACTATATGCCAAAGTGCATGGAATTCTATTACCTTCCCATTGAAGTGATGCCTATTTATTTACTCACATTTGCATGTTTTGAACTGCTAGGTGGTCAGGAGCTGGGATGAGAACTGGAGCTCACCCCCCTTCATATTTATTTATTTATGAGACTTATATACCGCTTTAAGTGCAAGCACTCTCTAAGCGGTGTACACCAGTAAGCAATGTGTATATATATATATATTTACATTGCCCCCAACAATCTGGGTCCTCATTTTACCTACCCCGGAAGGATGGAATGCTGAGTCAACCTTGAGCTGGTGAGATTTGAACCGCTGACCTGCTGGACACAGTCAGTTAAAGTGGCCTGCAGTACTGCACTCTAACTGCTGCGCCACCTCAGCTCTTGATCTCAAATCTGTTTACTTTCCAGTTGACAAGCTCAACCATTGCCCCCCTCCCCCCCCCCCGTCCTACATTGTAAGACCTATAAATCCATGTAGAAGCTTAGAAATCCCCTACTATCCAGAAGTGCTAACAAAGTTTTTTTTTCTTTGTATCTCAATAGAACATTAACAAGAAGACTGGAGAACATTCATAAAGTGAGCCTGCATACAAAACAAAAAGACAGCATGCATACCTTGGAGTCCAACACTGAGTCCCAAGTATAAAAAATAGAAATAATATACCTAATATTAAACATCTTTGAGATATGCTGGAGCGTGGGAACTTACTTTCCTTCCTGGGGTTCAATGAAAATTATTAATTTTAGGGTCAGGGAAAAGAAGCTTTTCCCACCTTGCCAAACGGATAAGAATAAAACATATTATAATTCTACATATGAATAATTATCCATGCTTCTTTTCATCGGGAATAGGTTAGAAGCACATTCCAGCTTGTACTTGGAAATGTCCAGCTAGAATATTCTCAAAAGATACAACTTTCAATGAATACATTTAGATGAGTTCTCTCTCTACTACCAGGGAAATTTATTTTCAAAAATGTATGACGGTAGATGCTTGAAATGGCAGGATACAAACTCAAAGTCATGTGACACTAGTTTTGGATCAGGGAGGCTGAGATTTAAGTTGTTGCTTTGAATCCCTCTGGACACTTTATAGCCAGTTACTCTTTAACAGACTCATTAGATTGATGAGTGCTAAGTGCTACCTCAAGTTTCTCCAAGGAATAGCAGACTTGTGGAGTCCTTGGTGCTCTCTGAGCTTGGTGGCTTTCCTATGGACATTTAATTACTAAACTACGTAACCTCATCAGTGCACTAATGATGTTACCTATTTTGGTAATGAAATGTCTTCAAAAAACCCCCACAAAGCTCAGAGAACACCAAGGGCTTCACAGTTCAACTTTGACCTACAAATATTCATTTCTCTCAAATAGCAGACTTATTTACAGATTAACACTCTTTAATTTTAAGCAATGCAAAGGAGTCAATGCTCTTTTTCACCTAGATACAGTCAAAAAAAGAATGTGTTTAATCAATGAAACATGTACCATTCCTTGTTCCCACTTTATACAGAGATATATCCGGGGGAAAAAAATAGATAGTCTAAACACTTCATTGAGGGATAGTTTCACACTTTTCCAGGAACAAATGGTGATGGGCCTGATGTTAATCCTAGGTTTAGCAATGAAATAAGAAGCCTGAGTTGCTTTTTTTGGATCCACTGAAATATATTGAACTCTCTATAAAAGAAAACAAGTTTTCCTACCTCTGGAGGCTGATTATATATAATTTATAATATTAAATACTATTATATTTACCTGTTTTTCCTGTGCCTTCACGCTGTGGCAGTTTCTCATTTAGAGACCCTAAAAGTAAAGCAAAAACATTGTAAGTTAAAAAAAAACATTAAAAGGAATTAGTTGTGTTACCAAAATTCAAAGGGAGCAGGAGAATCACTGCTTAGGCATTTATTAATGTGGAAGAGAGAAGAATAAGGCTTTTCATAATCTATCATTCCATAAACTTATTCTATATCTCTGGGACTTATAGTGCTTGACTCATAGGAAACTTTTACAGAAGAAAACAAGAGATACTGCATGTGTATTGTATTTTAAGATATTGTAAAAAAAAACAATTGCAGGGAAATCTTAGTGAACAATACCTTTCAGCGATAATTGAACACCTGTTTCAAAAGTTCCTTTCCCAAAGGCTCAATATTTCTGGAATTTCTTTTAGCTCCCTAAATTTTGATCTCTTGACTTGGGGAGTAGTAAAAATGTCTGGGTTGCATCTGGTGCATTTCAACAAACAGTTTATGGAGGATGGGAACATTTAACTTTATGCAGCCAATGAAGCCGATCTGCTTTACACTGTACCTCTCAAGTTGTCCAGTACTCTCACAATAACAGACTAATGGTGCATGGAGGTGTCTGCCTCACTATTATGAGTTACAACATAGCTTAATGCTTTTTATCGGATTATATTTCAATGGAGAGTACATAAGAGAGGAAAGTATATAAATGGGTTTAAGCTGACACCTGACCTATTTGAAAATAAGGATAAACAAAAACTTCTCAACCAAGTGTGCATTCCACTCCCTTTAGCTAAATGTCCCAAAGACTGCTTCTTTCAAACTGCAAATGGACTTTTTATATTTTTCTTGAAGACATTTTACTTCTCATCCAAGAAGCTTCTTCAGTTCTAATCAACTGGTGGGGAATGGAAAGGATTTATATTCCCATTATAACCCCAGATGGTTTCAACGACAGAGAGTTAACGACTGGCTGACTAGAAAGAATATCACTCCTTTCCATTTCCCACCAGTTAGTTAGAACCGAAGAAGTTTCTTGGATGAGAAGTGAAATGTCTTCAAAAAAAAATCGAGGAAGTCCAGTTGTGGTTTGAAAGAAGCACTTTTGGGACAACTGTGACCTGGATGACTGAGAACCTCCATAGACATTTATCTAAATGGCTTTGCCTGGAAGAAGTTGAAACATAGTGGCCATCAAAACTGAAATGCTATTGAAAAAAAAAAATACACTACTGTCAGCATACAGTCAGATAACAAATTATCAGAGATGTTAGTCAATCAATAGATTACTGACCGGAAGCTTAGATCAAAGAGATTTGGATTAGTTATAGAATATGGTGGGTAGTCTAATGAATATAACCTGAATAAATCTATTGAAGACTCATTTGGACCATCATACAGTGACTGGCCAGACAGTCATGATAGATAAGGGTATTGCCAGCACCCAATAATTAAAAAAGAAAATCCAAAGTAAGTGGTTAATTTATCTTGTGATAAACGTAGGCTGGAAATATTTAAGCTTTTAAATAAGCTTATATATATAACAAAAACAAAAATCACTCATGGTCCAAAAGACTGCAAGAAACACAAAAGTATAGCAATTTAATATGTACACACTTCCATCTAAATAAATACTTGCCTGCTAAAAACACAGTCCTAACATATATGAAATTTCAACTTGTTAAAGATCCCTCTTTATGTGAAATATGTGATCCAAAAGACATAAGTCACAAGATCCTATTTCATAAAATAAAATAATTTTAGCTTTTTGATTATCAGAAATTGTACAACTTGTGGTTGGTACAAGTTACCATTAGCTCCAGTTACACTGAACTTTCTGCAAAAATACCATGTTCCGAGTAATCTCCAATGGTCAAAATTCTCCCCAATGCACACTGAACTTTGGCTACATCATGTTCATATGTGCATTCAAAAAAAAACCCTTGTAAAATATGCTGAATTTAATGGAACGTATTTGGTTGGGGAGGATTGCCTGCTGCTGTTAGATCTTCCATTTATTGCCTTTGGGGGGGAAAAAATCCTTAAGATCTGGAAATCATTTTATTGACACATCAAAGGGATTACTATGGGCAAGGGATTTATTAGGATAACCAAGGCATTTCTTTCCCAAAACCAAACCAAAAACCCAAATTGAAGGGAACTGTTTCCTGAAGGAAATACAGCTGCCATCAACTATATTGAGAAGCCATATTCCTCTCTCCATCAAGTGCCACTTGGCATCAGCCATTCCATCAGGCTAGAAAGATGGAACAAGATTACTCCACCAGCTCAGTTGGAAACTCTACTTTTAATTTATTGATTTCTCTCCTTCAACTGCTTTCTTTAAAAACATTGTAACTAAGAATTAGTGAATGAGATCATTTTTCTTTCTTTCCTCCAGATCGCTTTCTCTATCGGTAATAGATCTTTTAATACTAGATGATTGTGAACAGGGATGGTTTCATTAATACATCAGCTACTTTTTGGGGAGGAAACAGAGAAGAAAAGAGAAGATCCATAGAGATGTCTAGGGGGTCAGAGGGGTACGTGCAGGATTTAGTGTTGAAGTTCTTATTATTGTTTAACTGGGAGTGGCCTGATCTGATATAAAATGATATATCATGGTATAATGTTGTTAAGGCTTCCCACCATATTTGATTAATCAGTGTTTCTCAACTTTGACAATTTTAAGGCATGTGGACTTCAACTCCACAACTTCAAGCAATGCTGGCTGTGGAATTCTGGGAGTTGAAGTCCACATGTCTTAAAATTGTCAAGGTTGAGAAACACTGGATTAGATAAAGTTATATGCTCTGTTGTTTGGAATGATTAATTCTACCTTTATACTTGAAAGACTTTTGAAAACAAATAAGCTAAGAGAACACCATTTCTCTTAGCTTATTTGTTTTCCTTCACCATTTGAGTTGGGACAATTATGATTCTGATGAAGAATCTAGCAAATACTGAGATGGTGGCTGCATGATATGTATTTGATAGATTGTGGACTTATATCTAATAGTCATGAGTATGTGCTTGAAGACTTGCTTTGTGATTTGCTCCATAATTTGCATCAAAACTACTAATGAAAAAATCTCTAAAGATTTTTGTTTCTCCATGAAGAATACTACGTTGCTTTCTTCCATGGCCCTCTCTGAACATAGCCCTGTTTTACTTATCCAAATATTCTGCTGTTTTAACAAGATAGGATGCACAGGACCAACCCTGCAGATGGGCCAGCTATGGTCACTTGTCCAAGAATCATGTCTAAAGGACAACCAAACTGACTTGAGTATTGTACAATATAAAAATACAATCTATCAATATATAATTGATACATAGAGATAGGGATAGATTAGAAAGAGACAGAGAGAGAGAGAGAGAGAGAAACAGTGGGGGAGAATAGTATTTTACATTTTTACATTTTCAACTCACTATTTTTTTCACACCTGATAGAGGTTTTTTAAAATATTATAGTAACAACAAAACTGCAATTAGTAGTAGTATCTATTACTGAGGCAAATCTGAATTTGTGTTTAAAACAGGAAGGAAATATATACTCTTTCAGAACAAGAATTAAAGGTTGTTGTTTGGAACTTACTCTGACTTTTTTCCCCAAAGCTGACATATGATTCTATTATTTCTGGATATGATGTTCAGCATAACATGACAATTATTTGAATGTGTATGCATTCCCACTGCAGATCTTTTAAGACAAAATCTTTTTTTTTTCTTGAAGTATATCTTATATGTTAACAATATGAACATTGACTAGGGTTCCAAATAAAATTAGTAAACAAGAAATAGAAGAGGGATTTGGTCATACAACATGCAATTCTCACCAAAATCATCTCAGTCTTCAGTCCCAAAGTTTTCCTAGGATAAACATTTTGCTTCAATTTTCAGGATCACTCCCAACAATACTATCTAGGCCCTGATTTGCTAATGAGCAGGCTAAAATGATTCTCCAGAATACTATAAGCAACTGTGCTCATGGGAATAGTTATGAACTGTGCAGGTTTCAAATTATTTGGGAAATGTATTTTTATTTAGTATTATGCTTGCTGCTCTTTACCAACAAGATGATATTTATACTAATAGTTTGTGATCCACACAAGCTACTACATGATGGACAAATATAATAATGTGTTCAGTCAGTGCCTTATAAATACAAGTAACATAAGCTCCAAAGAGCAAATCTGTAAAGGAAACCTTTTGGATTTCAGAACTGAAACACTATAATGGGAACACTTTTTCTCTTGAGGAAACCAAAATATGAACAATTGCCACATGAATGCAAGATGATCCAAAACTATCCTGTCTGGAAGCTGTTTTCTCATCATTGGGGCTTTTTTGTTTTGCATTTACAAAAATGCCGATTTTGTACTTAAAAACAGTAATGTTGGAAAAGTCAGACATTTACAAAACAGTCACAATAAAACATAGGTTGCAACTTTACAGACATTTTCAATTTAAACTAACTCCTCTTTTAATATCCAAACTTCTTCCCCAGAATAATTCAGCTGTCATTCTTTATGAATGCACATAATTGGCTATAATAAAATTTATGCCAGAATCCCAAGTATAGAATTGCAGCCTGAATGTCATACTCAGGTCATTTGAATTTTGCACTGTAGATTTATTAAATTATACTTCTTAAAATAAGGTCAGCAGGAAATTGGTTTATTGTTTAAAGTACACTTATCTATTACTCTGTGACATAAAGTTCATGGCTCCACTAAAATGATAGGAAACCAAACCTCAGAGAAACCAAGAAGAAAATGCCATAAATCTACTGCTCTGTGAGGCTCAATAGCCAAAATATAAATTAGACCATTGCAAGTTCTCTGCTTGGGTCTACTTTTGAAAAGTATCCAGATGTTGCAACTAGCGTAAAATGGGATGGCTAGGTTGCTAATCAGTGACACAATGCAGGGAACACATAAAATTAGAATTGGAGATCATCCAATTGGCTGGAAATTTACCAGGCATATGGGTGCACTTTCAGAACACCAAATGGCTTAGGGGCTGGCTATCTGAAGGCTCACCTCTTACAAATCTACTTGGGCAATATGATCTGCAGAGGACGCTCTCCTGATTTCTTTTTTTAATATGTTTCTGTATGTGGGCACAAAGACCAACTTTTTGGTCATTGTTGATTCCTGTGACTGCCTGGACTAGTCCAATCTCTTTTCTTGGCACAGTTTTTCTGGAAGTGGTTTGCCCTTGCCTCCTTGCTAGGGCTGAGAGAGAGAGAGTGAGTGACTGGCCCAAGGTCATCCAGCTGGCTTCATGCCTAAAGTGGGACTAGAATTCATGATTTCACGGTTTCTGGTCTGAGCTTCATCTGCTATACCAAACTGACTAGCTGGCTGGCTGACTCTCTCTCTCTCTCTCTCTCTCTCTCCCTCTTTCCTTCCCTTCCTGTGATTAGAGATTCATTTATCTGACAATCACCTACATTGCTCCCAAGATGGAAAATGCATTCAGCCCTTACTTAACAGAAGACAATCTTTTACTTCTTAATTGTTAATTGCTAAGTACACTTTTGAATGATTATCTCTTTTTGTATTCTATGTTTTATTTGTTGTTAGCAGAACCAATTGGATAGAAAGGTTCAATAATAAACAAATACTTAATTTGGCAGGTTAGTTTCTGTATGTGGATACTTTGATTCAGTGTATCATGATAGAGCAGGAGTCTTCAAAGTTGACCCTTTTATGACTTGTGGACTTCAACTCCCAAAATTCCTCAGCCAGGCACTCTGGCTGAGGAATTCTGGGAGTTGAAGTCCACAAGTCATAAAAAGGCCAAGTTTGAAGACCCCTGTGATAGAGAGTAAGAAAAAGGAAGAACAGCTTCTGCCACAGTAAAGCATATATAGTTACCTGGGCAACGTGGAGTTTTATGTGCTACAGCTGTACCACTGATTGGACGACCATTAGGGGTGACACACCAACAGTAGCCTGTGTAACTGTGGCACTGAACCTGTGGAAAAAATGCCAAGTATTTGAAACTCACAGAAAATATTTTGATAGCTCACATTTTCTTGAGAGATAGTGTTGATTTTTTTCAAGTTAGTACCTATATTGTGGCACTGAACCTGTGAAAAAAATGAACCATCTTTTCCATAGTTTTGCAAAAGCCAGATTATATCAAAAAGCAATAGGCCCATTTGTTTTTAATGGATTATATTAAATGGATGTAGCTTGAGGCTTGAATGAGAATAGACAAAAGCTGAACCCCGTGATCTGATTGTGGAATCATTAATAATATCTTCAGTGGATATTCAGTGATAGCTTATTCAGTCATTTTTTTCCCTCCTAATTTGCATGGATGGAAAAATAAAATGATATTATAGGGGACTGGAGGCTAAAACATATAAGGAACGGTTGTTGGAATTGGGTATGTCTAGTTTAATGAAGGACGAGGGGGGACATGATAGCAATGTTCCAATATCTCAGGGGCTGCCACAAAGAAGAGGGAGTCAAGCTATTTTCCAAAGCACCTGAAGGCAGGACAAGAAACAACGGGTGGAAACAAATCAAGGAGAGAAGCAACCTAGAACTAAGGAGAAACTTCCTGACAGTTAGAACAATTAACCAATGGAACAACCTGCCTCCAGAAGCGGTGAATGCTCCAACACTGGCAGTTTTTAAGAAGAAACCGGACAGCCATTTGTCCGAAATGGTATAGGGTTACCTGCCTGAGCAGGGGGTTAGACTTGATGACCTCCAAGGTCCCTTCCAACATTATTATTATTATTATTATTATTATTATTATTATTATTATTATTTGTATAACCACAGTTGAGTGTGTGTTGAATTTCAAATTCAAATTGAGTCACAACTTTTTCAAATTAATACATTATGGTGATGTAATATGAATTAAGCTTGTCCATTTATTTTTGTCAATTTGGGGGAATACCAGTAAAGAAGAAATGTTTCTCCAAAAAGCTGCAGCTTTAGAGTACTCTTCTCTTATTTCCCTTATTTCCAAAGCACAACTCAATGGTGGAATGAGAATTAGTTTGCTTTAGTGGTTGGACAATGAAGACACAGATTTTGGTCCATTCCCAGACAAAAAAAAACTCTTTGGATGATTTTGGAAAAGCTATTCTCCCTCTCAAACCTATGTTTCTCAACAGGTTGTTTTTATATGAGGAGGGAGTGCAACGTGTGTTGCCTTGAGTTCATAAATAACAGGCAGAATATAAATGCCACTAGTCTATCTATATAAGCTGCCTATAAATTTTATAATTAAACAAATAAATATACAACTAACACTGTCATTGTCAAACCTTTAACTAGGTGAAAAGGTGTGTCATAGGACAATACTTTTTGATTCAAAGTACTTCATATGAACTAACTTACAAAATGCATCCAAAATCCAGGATCCGTGATCCCTGAGGAAATGAAATTTGGGGAAGTTGTGGCTATTTCTGAGGATTCAGATTGTTGGGGGCAATATGCTGACTTTGTAAACTGCTTAGAGAGGGCTGTAAAGCTCTGTGAAGCGGTCTATAAGTCTAAGTGCTATTGCTATTTTAGTGCTACTGGTGGCAGCTACGCTTCTGGGCTGCTGCTGCAGTCATGCAACCTTCATTTTCAATATTTCATGACAGTTTCCCAGCCAATCTTGCTCCCTCACTCCTCCACCCAGCAGTAGCCACCTCTCTGTCTGCAGGGCAGGGCAGGGAAGGGAAAGGAAGGAAAGGAAAGATTTTTGATACTTCCTGCCAGATTCCAACAGGAAACTCATTGGGGAAGCTGCTCCCACTGGGTTTTTGCCCACCAATTTTGCTCACCCATTCAATTTCTCTGTTTAGCTAAGGAAATATTTCTGAAATGATAACCCAATGGGGCATGGATTATCTATTGAAAAGACATACTATAATAACACATCACACTGTGGTAGTGTACTTACTGGCCCTCATGGGAGAAAGAAGTGAGCCATTCTGTTCCAAATCCAAAGATAAGAACAGTGAGCCTCTCCGATACTGCTACTTCAAATAATGAAAACATATTATTATTATTATTATTATTATTATTATTATTATTATTATTATTATTGATAATAATAATAATAATAATGATAATAGTAATAGTAATAATAATAATAATAATAATAATAATAATAATAACCCCAGACTTAACAATTGTCGATAAGAAAGACAAAAAAGTCTGGATAGTGGACGTGGCAGTGCCTGGAGACAGCAGAATAGACGAGAAAGAACTGGAGAAGATAACAAAATACAAAGACCTACAAATAGAAATAGAAAGACTGTGGCAAAAGCAAGCAAGGGTAGTACCAATAGTCATAGGCTCCTTAGGTGCAATCTCAAAACAACTGGAGCACCACTTGAACACCATTGGCATTGACAGACTGTGCGATGATCCATAATAACAACAACAACAATAATAATAAATATCTTTTTCAGAAATCACAAGCATCTCTTTCTTGTGTTTGTGTGTTCTACTAAAGTATGGAGTGGATATTCATCCCAACACTCTATTAATTAAGAGGTCCTTGGTGCTCTCCAAGCTTCGTTGTTTTCTTGCAGACATTTCATTACCCTACTAGGTAATATCATCAGTGCTTGTGATGTGGGGGTTCGTTCCCTGTTTATATACATAACTTGTCCTGACAACATTGCTGAGGCTCTTGTTGGTACTTACTTGATTGTTTTCTGCTTGTTTATCTGATATTAATCCCTGATTATCTGGGTATAGGCTGCTGGAAAGGCTGTGTTCTTTTTTACTCCTTATTATCTGTTTTGAATGGTGTGTAAATGAGGTTTGTCTCTATGTATCTGTTAATGGCTGATTTGTCTAAACATCAAGCTTCCAGGATTTCCCTAGTGTTTTTGGATTTAGTCTGGTCTAGGAAGTTTCCAGAATAAACTATGGTTGAATCTGTCCATGTATTGTGAAATTAAGGAGTTTTCATCATGTCTTTTGCTTGCAAATTTGTGTACATGGATATGCTCTGCTAATCATCTGCTTGTCTATCCTACAAAGTAGCTGTAATAGTCTTTCTACTGTATATTGTAGATGACTCCTGTTTTTCTTCTTCTTGCATTACTGTGTCTTTAGTTTGATAGAGAACCCATACTAGTTTTTTGATAGACAACCCACACTAACCCAGTTCTCCATTACCAAAGAAACAGCCCAACTTCCAACAAGAAGAGCTGTGCCAGAACATTATTCAGATGAGTACAAATATACTTCAGCAACACAGAACAACCAATAAAGGAGAATATTTGTAACTCAGGGTTGAAATGAGGGTTTCCCCCCCCCCACAGAACAGAACACCACAACACAACACAAAAGGAAAGCGACCATCTATTTAACATCTTCCAACAAAATATATTATTAAAAAGTGCCTGACCACTCAACCCACCACAACACAACCAACACAAACTATGTAAAGGATAACATTGTCATACATCAAAAACATCTCAAAAACAACTAACAATTACAATCACACAGCATCATTGTAGCATACAAACAAAATAAAGCCTTCCAAAACATCTTAAAAGACCCAGTAACCCAAGAAGAAAAAAATAGGAGTCATCTATAACATATAGCGTAAGGACTGTAACAGCTACTATATGTACAGACTGGCAGAAGACTAGCAGGATGCATCAACAAACACCAACTAGCAGTCAGAAGATACAATGAAAGCTCCTTAATTAGGGATCCTACACTCAGATAAGCAGGGATTAATACCAGCCAAACAAATCAAGCAGAAAACAATACCCTACTCAAGGAATTGGCAAGGAAAAAACTCTCACCAATACTGTCAGAGCAAGCTACTGTACATAACTTCACAGCCACTAGCATTGATGATGTTGGATAGTGAAAATCTGTAGATAAACAACCAAGCTCAGAGAATACCAAGGACTCCACAGTTTATGCTGTAAAATGCTATAAGTAATATGCCTGTGCTTCTTAATAAGCATTCACTTTTAGCTAAATTAAGTAAGTAATTCAACAGATAGTAACCCAACTTTCAATAGAATCTCATAACATTTTTCATTAGTAGAGTTTCTTCCATCCACAGTGTAATGGAATCTCCAGATTTCTATGCTTCCTCACAAGTTTTTCTGGAGAGTCCTCAAACTTCCAAAATGTTTTTTTGAGAACAAGCAAGATTTTACATAATGGTTGGAAGCTGGCCAAAGAGAAAAGCAACCTGGAATTAAGGAGTAACTTCCTAGCAGTGAGGACAATTGACCAATGGAACAGCTTGCCTTCAGAAATCGGGGATGCTCCATCACTGGAGGTTTTTAAGAAGAGACTAGACCAGTGTTTCTCAACCTTGACAATTTTAAAGCATGTGCACTTCAACTCCCAGAATTCCACAGCCAGCATTGCTGGCTGTGGAATTCTGGGAGTTGAAGTCCACATGCCTTAAAATTGTCAAGGTTGAGAAACACTGGACTAGACAGTCACTTTTCTGAAATGATATAGGTTCTTCTGCTTGAGCAGGGGGCTGGATTAAAAGACCTTCAAGATCTCTTCCAGCTCCATTCAATTCTGTTCCATTCTGTTCTATTCTACTTTAGAACCAATCAGTGGTAACTCAAAGTCAGAAAAAGAAAATGAGATTCTTAATCAGATGCTAGAGCAAGAAATGGGTCAAAGGATAATCAAGAATTGTTGCATTCAACCTGGCTGTAAGTGCCATCATCGTTGCATTCCGGAATGAATACTTGCTGGAACTCCTTGCGTGCTTGTTCTTGGGTATATTTCCTCTCCGCCACACATCGTGAAACATCTAAAGAAATGAGATAAAATATTAATCCCTGTGGAAATCAGAATATCACAGAATTTGCCTTTGTTGCAGCAGCATTTCGCTACATACACTGGCTTCCAATGGAATTTAGTTGAAAGCTATGAATAAATGGGGCTGAAAAAATAAAGTGACAGCCACTTTATATATTATCTTTAATTTTAACCATGCCCCATGTGCCACATAAATCATTCTTTTTAAAAATAAAAGCATCTGTTGAAGCCCAGTGCTTTATTTGGAAGTCTGTCAAAAAAAAAAAAAGATAAAAAGTGATTCAAATAATATAACATCCTGAAAAATTAAAAGAAGGATGGGAAGTAAACTCACACTATAATAGAATCTTGGCAGTAAGCTCATAATATTTTCGTAAACTTTAAAATGTGCCTATCAGTTCAAAAACATCTACTGTGAATGCTATTGGAATTAAACACTATGTTCTAAGTCAGCCAAACAACATTAGGTTGAGTACAAATTAGAGCTCAGAGGAATTTACATTCATATAACATTCATAATACATTCTATAATCAATAGATGATTATAGAAATATGATATAGATGCTATGTCAAGTTCCTAATTCAATTTCCATGTGTAGCTCAACTCAATTGGTATTCTAACTACTTGAACTTGTTTTCATAATGTCATCAGAAGGAAGCAGAGGAATGAACACAAAGGAATCTTAAAAAGTCTTGTTTTAAAAGAGCCATTTTCAAAAAGTCCTTAAAAGCCACACTTCAGATAGCCCTCCTTCTAATTGACTTATTCAGGTAGAAAGCCTAGCCCACAAAGATTAACTCTTTTTATAGGGGCACCAATATACCATGAGCAAAAAATCTGACAAAAAAGTTGCAAAAATAAAACATCTGGAAAAAAGAGACAGCAATGGCAAAAACAGTAAATTCAGTGTCAGATCTCCAAAGACAGAACTCCACACACTCCAGATTCACTGTGTGGGGTCTCACCAGTACCTCCAATGGGTAAAGCTAACCAAATTACAGTTTTGGACTCCCCCCTCCCCTGCCATGCCTTCTGGATAAAAAAAAGTGGGATGTGACACATGTTATACCGACAGATTGTAGCTGTACACTGATTTTTAATTTGTTTTGTATTTACTGTTGTTAAATCTATAAGTAGAATTCTTTGTAAGCCTTACCTATTATAACCTAGGATACAGTTATTAAAAATTGTGTTCCATGGGTTCACACAATTTTTTTCACCTATGGCTGAAAGCTCAAATATTTTGAAAAACTCTAGCCAAAGTGCATTTTAAAAGTTAGGGGAAGCATTCAAATCATGACATCTGGAATTTCTCCAGTCCCAATACCAAAACTAGCCACACAAGGCATCTATATATTCTGCACGACAAAATGACACATTCAGTCTGTTTTTTCCATTTAAACATATTTCATAATGAGTTTTGTTTTTGGTATATCAGAGAACTCTTCCATTCACACCCAAAACTCTTGCTGTAGTCAATCTATGACTATACTGTGATTGTTAACAGCTTATATTATTTTAAAAATAAAGTGCAATGGTCAGCACAGCTTTTACACCATATGCCTTAGCCTAAACTCATATGTTTGCTTATGTGCTACTTACTGACATGTGGTTTTAATGAAGCAAGTGTTTTAACTGAAAATAAATCTGTCTTTTGGTGGACTTCTGTCTTCATTTTTAGTGCAGATGTGGTTTAAATGTCAAAAGGAAAAGCAATCTAAATTCCAACACATGAGGGTTATGATTATACATTTGCTCAGGAGCAAATTCCACTAAAATGCATTGGGATCTATTCTCCCATAGGATATAAAATGGATTGCACCAAAGATTTAGTGCTGATAGAATTATAAGCTGTTCTTCTATAGGAATTATCACCAAAGGAAGCCAGCTTTCTTCTTTACAGTATATCTAATACTTAGAGCGTTTAAAAATCTGAATGTAACTCCAAGGTCTGTTACATGACTTCTGAAATTGTTAAAACAATACATCTAACAGAATAGAAATACTGGTGTTCTAAAACTAGGATTAGCAAAACATTGAAAATGTTTGGTCAATTTAGGCAAATGGTTTTGAAATGCAGATGTTTATTGACAAAAGGAAAAAATAAATTAAAATATTCCCAATTTGCATTGGATTCAGTTAGATTCCAGGGCAATATCAGGGTATGAATATGTTTCATCATATAAATATAAATGAAATAAAACACAGTTCTTTTGGTTAAGATAAACCAGATGATCCAATAAGTTTAGCTAAACCATATGCCATGGTGGCACAGTGGTTAGTATTACAGGCTAACTCTGCTGGCTGCCAGCAGTTCAATCCTGACCAGTTCAAGGTTGACTCAGCCTTCTACATTTCTGTAGTAAATAAAATGAGGACCTAGATTGTTGGGAGCAATATGCTAATTTTGTAAGCCACTTAGAGAGGGATGTAAAGCACTAGGAAGTGGAATATAAATCTAAATGCTACTGCTGCTGCTGCTGCTACTGCTACTGCTATGCATCAATGCCTTGTCAGAATGATGTCAAGATGCTGAATTGTGCATTGTGACATTAAGGTGTAAGCTTCATCCTTTCAAACATATATCACAATATTGCATACAAGCCAAAAGTGGATGGAATCTGCATCACAACCTCATAATGCATTCTTAAGACTGCCAATTTAACAATCAAAAAACTGTTAGCTTTTTTTAATGTTACCACTAAAGTAGAAAAATATTCAGCTGGGAAGAGGGTAGCAAGATATTCACTAAGATCATGTTAGAGTAGGCTGTATTAACCAGATATTCACTTTTTTTCTTATCTTCTGGCTTCAAGTACAGGTAGTCCTCAACATACAACCATTCATTTAGTGACCATTTGAATTTACAATGGCACTGAAAAAAGTAACTTGTAACCATTTTCCACATGACCATTGCAGCTTCTCCAGGGTCACACAATCAACATTCCGGCATTTGACAACTGGCATGTATTTATGACAGTTGCTTTGTCCTGGAGTCATGGGGTCACCATTTGTAACCTTCCCAGATAGCTTCTGACAAGTAAAGTCACTGGGGGAAGCCAGATTCATTTCACAACCTTGTGATTCAGTTAACAACTGCAATTGTGACAAAAACAAGGTCATAAAATGGGGCAAAACTCACTTAACAACTGCCTTGCCTAGCAATGGAAATTTTGGGTTCAGTTGTGGTCATAAGTCAAGGACTGCCTTTGTTAGTTTTCAATCTTCAAGTAGGGGCAATTTTTTTTTTAATCTGAGCCTAGCTAATAGTGGTTAGTTGAGGTTAATACTTTTAGGAGAGTAAGCCAGCTTCAAGTCATGGTATCTGATGCTTATTTCTCAGAATTGTAGTTAGTCTTACTTTTCACTTTCATTTTAATATTATACTCAGCTGACAATAGACTAATTTCATCAATTCTCTACATTGTAACAATAAATCAAGCTGCATTGACTTGTTGTTCATAATTTAGCATCAAAATCTTAGGCAGCAGAACGGATGTAGGGATATGAAGTTATTGTTGACTTCTGAACAGATATTTAGGCAAGAAAAATCAAATGCACAGCTATAGTATAGGGGGGTACCTTGCTCAATAGTAGTAACTGTGAGAGGGACCTCGGAGTCCTAGTGGACAATCACCTAAATATGAGCCAGCAGTGTGCTGCAGCTGCCAAGAAGGCCAACACAGTGCTAGGCTGCATTAACAGAGGGATAGAATCAAGATTACGTGAAGTGTTAATATCACTTTACAATGCCTTGGTAAGGCCACACTTGGAATACTGCATCCAGTTTTGGTCATCACAATGTAAAAAAGATGTTGAGACTCTAGAAAGAGTACAGAGAGAGCAAAAAAAAGATGATTAGGGGACTGGAGGCTAAAGCATATAAGGAAAGGTTGATGGAATTGGGTATGTCTAGTTTAATGAAGAGAAGGATGAGGGGGGACATGATAGCAGTGTTCCAATATCTCAGGGGCTGCCACAAAGAAGAGGGTGTCAAGCTATTTTCCAAAGTGCCTGAAGGCAGGACAAGAAGCAATGGGTGGAAACTAACCAAGGAGAGAAGCAACCTAGAACTAAGGAGAAACTTCCTGACAGTTAGAACAATTAAGCAGTGGAACAACCTGCCTCCAGAAGCGGTGAATGCTCCAACACTAGAGGTTTTTAAGAAGAGACTGGATAGCCATTTGTCCGAAATGGTGTAGGGTTTCCTGTCTGAGCAGGGGGTTGGACTAGATGACCTCCAAGGTCCCTTCCAACTTTACTACTACTACTACTACTACTACTACTATTATTATTATTATTATTATTATTATTATTATTATTATTATTATTATTATTAGGGTGAGACAACAGAAATTTGTTCAGAGGCATGGAAGACTCCCATATTATTCTGTTGTTGCACAAACTGGCCAGAAAATCATGTAGCTTAGCTTTATAAGACAGATTGATGTTAGATATTTAATGCAGAGAATGTAACACAAGAAATACATCTTTTAAATATTCTCATTTAATCACAAGAAAATAACCACATGCTATATAACTAAATTAATTTCAGAGGAGCATCATTAAAAAAAGCTGTATTGTAAAGAAATTCCATAGCATAATCATGTACAAAATTATTCCCTGTTTGTTCAGCTATTTATTTGATTAATGTCGTATAATCATATATGACATTAATTTAACAAATCAAAACAACATTTATCATTCAAGGAAGGCCATTTAAAAAATAGTCAAAATGAAATGTCTGAAACAAAAAATGTGCCCTAAGGCAAGACACAGATGCTTAACTGCTCTTGAACCCAGCACACAGAATGTCTTTAAATCCACAAACTTTTTGAACAGATGGTACTAATCTGAAACATACAATTGGTTCACACAATTTGGACAGTTCTGGGTTTCCTGCCATTCCCTCACCTCCATGGCTCTTTCCTTTCTTCTCTCTTACATCTTCAGAATAATATTACTCAGACTCCCTCACCTCTACCCTGTGG